CTAAAAGTTTTGGGTCATTTTAAAATACAAGTCAGATTGGACCATTAATGTTTTTTTTAATTGGCCTATAGGGCTAGACCAGGCTTGGTTATGTCACCCATTTTGACAGCTTTACACAAAAATGTGTTAGTGACTCTGTTACAAAACAAGTGTAGGAATTGTGTAAGGAATAGAGAACACCTAGAGACTTTTTTATAGATAACATCATTGGACAAATTGAGAAGGGAGTATTTACACGTCATTCTTTAAATAATTTTTGCGATCATATGACTTTTGTGTCTCAATTTAAACCTAAAACTGGTCATGATGCATTATAAGATGAAAACTAGGTTTATAAGGAATAATGTATTGGTGTAAGTGCCTAAATCTAATGATATGAATATGATAGGAACTAAATGGGTTTTTAGAAACAAAATGAATGAGTTTGGTTTCATTACCAGGAACAAATCCAGATAGTAGTTAAGAGTTACAATTAGGAAAAGAGTATTGATTTTGATAAAACATATGCACCTGTTATTATACTAGAAGCTATAAGACTCTTGCATATTCCTATATGAATGGTATCAAACTTTTTTATATGGATGTCAAAATTACTTTTCCAAATGGTTTCATCAATGAGGAGATTTATGTCTCTCGACCTCTTGGATTTGAAAACCACAAACATCCAAATTATGTCTACAAACTTCTGCAAGCTTTGTATGATCTAAAACAAGCACCTAGACAATGATATGAAAGACTCGTCAACTTTCTCTTCTCTTAAAAAAAAAAAACTAAGAAAAAAGAGGTGAAGTTGATAAAACAATGTAGATCAAAAGGTCTGGAGGTGCTATCATACTTGTTCAAGTTTATGTAGATGAGATTATTTTTTGTGTCACTAATGATGATTCTCTATGTGAAGATTTTGTGAAAACTATAGAGTGAGTTTGAAATGTCTATGATAGGAGAGTTGACCTACTTTTCCAAGACTTCATGTAAAACAATTAAAACCTGACATTTTCTTAAGTTAGTCCAAGTACTATTTTTACTTACTTAAGAAGTTTGATATGGAAAACTGCAAAGAGACAACCACTCTCATGTCTACAAACTCCTACCTTGATTCTGATGAAAAAGGAGCGGTCGTGGAGTTAACAAAATTTAGAGATCTTATTGGTTCTTTTCTTTACCTAAGAGCTAGTAGACATAACATTATATGCAATATATATATGTGTGCAAGGTACTAGGAAAATCCAAATGAATCACACTTTAATAATGTGAAAAGGACAATGAAATATTTAAAATGAATAATAAATATTGGTTTGTGGTATCCAAGTGTCGTTGTAGTATAGTGATGAGTATTTTTGCTTGTCACATGGGTGACCTAGGTTCATTCCCCAGTAATGAAGCCGCTTTTAATACCCACTATCATAATAAGTACAAAATATTCTAAGTTTTCTAAAATGTTTGCAAGATAGTAGACAACCTAAGTCGATTCTCTCAAGGACACATATAAATTGTATTCAACTTGTAATATTTTTCCTTAAAAATGAAATTCGGGATTTTAGGGTTTAGAAGATACAAAATTCAATTGAAATTGAAATTTAAACGCAAACTGAATTAAAAGAGGCACGAACACAAGAATAAAAATGCAAGAAAGTAAATTACAAAAATTTAAATTGTAAATGTAATAAACAAAAGGAGAATGGACTAAATTTGAATATAATTTAAACGCACAAAATAAAGTTGAATTGGTTTAAGAAGTTGAATTAAAATATCAATCTACAAATCTAGATCCATATGAATATGAATATCAAACTGAATTTGAACAATTTCTATGAACCACTTTAAATAATTGTTTAACCTAATTTACAATTGAGTATCAAATCAAACTTCAATCTAAACCTAATTTAAATTTTAAAACATTACAAAGCAAACCATAACCACCACATGTGATTCTAAGAATTAGAGAAATGATGAACAAACTCGAAGCATGTGAATCAATCGATGCAAAACTCAATTTTGCAATGTTGAGAATTCAAGTGTGAGTTTGAAGTCCCATATTGGGTAGAAATGAGAAAGTTGAGTAACTTATAAATGAAAAAGACTCATAACCTAATGCCTTAAGGTTTTTGGTCGAGAATGATGTCATATTCTCTTATATGGTTAGTTCGGGTTCCATTTGTGAGAATCTATCTGTTGTTAGCTCCCTCAAAAATTCCTAACATGCAATTCATATGATCTTCAATTTGTAGATTGAAAGAAACAATTTCACCCTCCATGGAAGTACTTTTCATTCATATAAATATAAAAAGAAGATAAAATGAAAATAGAAGAAAGGAGAGAATTCAAATAGGCAAATGTAAAAATAAAAACATAATTAAAATATGTAATTTTGGTTTAGTAGTTGTGTCTATGTTGTTCCATCCATAAAGTGTTTATAAAACATTCTCAAAGATGAAAGCAAATGGAATTACGGTTTTAGTCAAAATGGGCCTTACAAGAAGTCCAAAAACAAAATACAATTTCATATACAAAAAATAGTGTTCGTGTCTCAAATTCTAAACTTTATTAAAAGTAGCTTAGAAATTCAAATTCGATATTCCCTATATGCAAATTGAAACCTTAGAAAGAAGGAAGCAACGAATTAAAATTTAGCCAAAAAGGATATTTATAGAAAAATTTATGGTCAAACTAGTGGATAGAGGTTAAATTTAGCGAAAAATACAAAATTAAATATTTTATTCAAAATAGTCTAATTTATTACTAATGACAAAAAAAAGTAAGAAAATGCAAACAATAAGATATAGTAATGTACTTAGAAGATACAATAAAGCTCTTAATGTGAATACAAAATATATACTATCACAAGGTACCAAGCAAATAAAAAAGAATCACATTTTAATGATGTGAAAAGGATACTGAAGTATTTAAAAGAAACAATAAATGTGGGCTTCTAATATCCAAGTGACGCTCCCTTTAAACTAGTTGGTTTTTTAAATTATAACCTTGTAGTGTATAAACTGGATAGAAAAAGTACAAGTGGAACTTACCATCTTTTTGAAAACAATTTAATATCTTGTCACAACAAGAAACTAGCTTGTGTTGCTTTATCAATTATTATATAGAATATATTGTGATTGAGAATTGTTGTGTTCCTATCCTTTGATTGAAACAACTACAAGATCTTTAATTGGGAAATGTACCTCTAGTATGTAACAACACTAGTGTTATTAATCTAACTAAGAACCCTATATAACATTCTCAAACAAAACATATAGAAATAATCACTTCACTAGAAATCATGTTTTAAAAAGTGATTGGTAGATCATGTTTATTGAAACTATAAAGTAGTTAACAAATTTATTTACAAAATCATTATCTAGAGACATTACAAAACCACATGTTAAACACTCTTAGAACTAAATTAGAAATATTATATTATTCAAGTATCATATAATTCTCAGAGTTTCAACTCTTTACATTAAATTATGCATATTTTAATAAATTAAATTGACACATAATCAATTATTTGAAGTTCTGTGTATCATGTTTTAATCGATTGTTTCATGAAAATAATCCATTTAAATAAGCTTTTATAATCAATTATAACGTGAATATAATATGAATAATTATAATTTCTCAAAACTACATGACTGCAAAGACTCATTTAATTGATTTTGTAACCTTTTAAACATTGCAAGTTGATTTTATGATCTTTTAAGCATTTTGTTAATTGAATGATATTTAAATATTCTATTCATTTAGTTGATTGTGATATATAGCTTCAAAATATATATCAAGAAAATGTACAAATTCTCAATTGTACTCGTAATTAGTTACATAATTATAAAGATTTTTTATATACTTAAATTAATATTCTATATTTTATAATATTTATATTATATCTTTATATTATATAAATTTGCAAACTCTCCTCTCACTTGTACTCCTAATTAGTTAGATAATTAATTGTAAAGATCTTTTGATATACTCAAATTAATATTCAATATTTTATAATCTTTACATTATGTAAACTTAAATTATTTAATGTTATTTATTTATTTTTTATTGTCAAAATACAATATTTTATAACTTGTATATTATACAAATTTTAATTATTTAATATTATTTATTTATTTTTTATTATCAACTTTATATACAAAAAAAATAAATACAAAATAAATAGATATTTTATAATTTTATACAATAAATTATTGTATTATAATATTTTATAATTTTATTTTCTAAATAAATTATAAGTTAATTTAAAAAAAATAAAAATAAATAACATTAATTTTTCAAAAAAATTATATAAATAAAAGATTTTTATTTTTAATTAAGTCAAAATAATTAATTAAATCAAAATAACTAATTAGCCTGTTAACATACTATAAGACTAAACTTGATCAAAATTTTTGATTCAATTTAAAATATAAATCTTTACTTATCCTATAGTACCAGACTAGACCATCTGTTTTAACAGCACAATATTCATATATTACACTACAACATTTTATGGACTTCGTTTATTAATTTTTGTTAGCGATTCAGGTTCCTTTTATATCTATGATAAACAAGATGAACTGTGATTATGTTTTTTCCCTAATCAACAACCAAGATAGATGTAATATTTTGCGCAAACAATCAGTGAAGCTTGCAAAGAACCAACATAATTCATGCATGGTTCCATTCCATTGCCAAAAAGGTTATGTCAATATAAAACCTTTGATCAAATTATTAATACTTCTGATTCCAGGTGCCAAGCACTTGATCATCTGCAGCTTACTGTTCCTTACAGGAAAATGGTACCTCTGAAAATTGAGTCATCTCTTCGAAAGCCATGGAAAGACATAAAATTCCAAAATATAATTCAAAATCTCACAAATCACAATGCTACTAACTTTCTTTTTAAGGGAAACTTGGGTGGAATATTTTCTGGGCACTCTTAAAGACATCATTATGTTCGTGGAGATTAAAATTGATATACTATTTCAAAACTGAAATCAGGAAAAAGTTTCAACCTCTCAAGCAGACTCTGCTTCTGTCCCACCCTCATTCTCTTTACTGTCCTCGGAGATTTCAGTTTTAACTTCTTGGGGTGCTTCTTGTTCAGGCTTTGCAGGTCCAGGACCAGCTGATACCTTCACCATTGATGGACGCAAGAGACGGTCACCAAGTTTAAAACCCTTTCTGAATTCTTGAATTATGATGCCATCCTCAAATTCAGCAGAATCCTCACGCATAATTGCTTCATGTAGCTTTTACAAGAAAAATGAAAATGTAATTATCAGAAAAACTTGTGCTCATGACACTAATGTCCAATACTTCAGAAACCAATAAATAAAATTTCAAAGATTAACATAACCATTGGTCTAGTGTTTCATTCAAGGTTATCCGACACAAAAGGTTTGCATCAAAGTATCTTACAACCAACCAGCTGCAAGTAATTTTCTAACTAACTAAACATTATGTGCGGAAATGAGATTCTCAACATATTTTACTAAGACCTTCTTTCCCTTGATATTTTCTGTGATGCAGTTTTACACTCACCAAATTGGCTCGAAACAATCAAGAATTGCTTTGGGTTAAAAGCGTGTCAAGGTCTTCAGGAAACCTGAACAAGCTTGAGAAAGTGTTTGAAAAAGTTCATCAAGGACATGATTGAATTTCGAGCCAACAGGTTTGCGTGCCTGCATCAATCATAGATGACACAGCATTATGCCATAAAAAATGTAATGGAAGATTGGGACCGTACAAAAATTATTTTCCTGAACAAAAAACAGAAGAGACAATTTTCTTGAAAGACACAAAATCTAAAAATCCATATTGAAATAATCCAAATACAATGTAAATCATAGTACAGAAGATGAACAAAAATTTAAGGTACAGTGTCATCTAACAAGATTAACAATTATATACGTTTGGTGCATTCCAACCTTTACTAGAATAAAATAAATTTATTAGATTTTCATTGTTACATAAAACATTATCCCTTCCATAATGATAAGATTACTTTCCTTGAAAGTTAGATAATCTTAATTAACTACAAGTCTACCAATTGAAATTTCTGAATGCAGATTAACTTACCAAAGGATCAAAGGGTGTTCCAACTGTCTCCACTGGTTCAACTCCAAGTGAAGTTAGAATTTCAATGAACTGTTTATATATGCTCTGATAACTATTGTTTATTTTCTCTTCTCCCTCTGTCTCCACCTTAATCTGGGTTTTTGCTCTCTCAAAATTATCCAAAACAGGCAATAAACTCTCCACCACTTCACCCTGAGCATTTGTCACTAGTGAAAGGCGATCTCTCTCTGTCCTCTTCCGAAAATTGTCAAAGTCTGCACTAATCCTTAGAATCCGATCCTTTTCTACTGACAACTCTTCAGATAAAGCAGCTATTTTCCCTTCAAGTTCTATTTGCTCATCTTCAATGGATTTTAATGATAATTCCAACTCAGCGATTTTGGCTTCATCTTTATTGGCTAATGCTTCTTTGTATGATTGAAGTAACAATTCGAAAGGTGAAGCAGTTATTTCTTCAGCATCACTAACCTCATTATCACTTGCACTGTCCTTTACATCAATACCACCATCTGAAGAGTCCTGTTAATTAGATTAGCACATAAGAAAATTGGTATAGGTCAAGGAACTAATACTTAAACTACGTATTTTTTAACAACCCCCACTATTTCCTTTATTAAGTTAGTCCAAATTCCCAATGTCAAAAACATGTTTGTATTCCTCAATGGCGAAATCATACTCAGAAAAGACTAAATATGTGAGTGAGGATGTAGCCAAAATCTTATATTAATTCAGACTACATTATGTTGAGTAATATGATGTGTAGCAATAAAAAACAAACATCAAATATGGCTTTAGATAATGTCACTTAAATTAGGAAGAAGAGTTATACATAACATAAAGATGACTATGATAGCACAAACGCTAAAGAACACAATAATGTAAAAAAATTAGAAAAAAAAATGAGAAAGGAAAATTGGAGACATGGAAACCCACGAAATATAGCCATAATACTAAATATGATAACAGCTGCCTACAAGGTTAACTCGATAGTTCAATTAATCTCAGCAAGGAATTGTGAGGTAGCTGACAAAGAAGCCGTAGAAACGAAAATAATTATAATGCAGTTATCTTTTAATATCAAGATATTTTCTTTAATTTTTGTATACTATTCATTGGTTCTATTTTGGGTTATATTGTGCTGATTAAGTGTTCTATTGACTCACCTAATGTGCTTGAGGTAGCAAAAAAAAATAAAAATCCAATATTACAATAAGGGAGTGGGTTACTTGTAAATTGTGCCTGCCTAGGAAGATGTAGTTTAATACACTTGTCAAACTAAAGATTTACATAATAAGCTCCTGAAGCTTCCATATTATAAAAAAGCTTTAACTACTGAGTTTGTCCCTAACTATTTGGGATTTTTAAATAGGTCCTTATACTAAAAAGTTTTTTATTGGGTCCTTAATCATGTAATTTCTTTTAATAAAGTCCCTAGGGTTAGTAATCAGTTTGCAAACATTATCTTACACAGAATATTCCTTATTCCCTCCTTATTGGCAGGGCCAAACCACCAAAAAATGCCAATTTATGACGGTCAATTTCTAGCCATTTCAAGCAACCAATAAAGAAGAAATAGTTTGCGAACAGAACAATAACATTAAGGGCTAAAAAAATTACATGATCTAGGGACCTACTTGAAATTTTCAAATAATCTAGGGACCAATTCAGCAATTATATCTATAAAATAATTAAAAGCATATTAAAGGCAACTCCATAATAAAGTGGAAGTAAATTACTACGAACACCAAACTACATATATTACCAGATAATATATAAATTCATAAAAATACAAGTTCCTAAAGTGAAAACATTTCAAAAGGAGTCATTTAAGCCTTGGTAAAACACAATTGCTAAAAGGTAAATAGGGAGCTAAAAATACATTCATTCCAAAGTTCCAAATTCGAGCGTTTATGCCAATTTACACAAGTCTAACGAGATAATCTAAGTTTATCCAAAAAAGAGTTTGATAGCAAGTTATTGTCTCTATCTAGAAACATAAAAGAGTTTAGAGTTAGACAACAAGGTTTAATAATCAAAATTTAGAATTCCCAAGAGATCAGGTAGGATTGTCACGAAGTCTGAAAGGTGCCATCTTGCACTATAAGTGTCAAACCGCAGCCTATGTATGCATTATCCTTTCCCTAAATAATAGACCCATGTCATCAAGAAGAATCTTCTTATTTCTTTATCTACTACACCAGACGAACCAGCCATTGTCTGCACTCAACTATTATTTCACTCAATTCTTCCATATTCCTTGGTATAAGTAACCCACTAAACCCTATTTAGACACCAGCTGTGCAGCACTAGCTTACCTAAAAACTACTATCATATTACCCTCAAACACTAATTAGCAACATTAATAGTTAACATCATACATTCAATCTTTGGACAATCTCCGAACGAACTATCGGTGAATGACGAAAACAAAACTTACATACAGTTCCTTGGGTTTTATTTGTCCCTGTCATCTAATTAGAATTGTAGCATCACCTTCGTAATTTGCATAATTTTTTAATGCAAACCTTAAATACGAAAATTTTCGAGAAGAAACACAAATTCTGCTTAGGCAATAGTGACACAAACAGCACTTATGGAACCTCACGTGGGCATAAAAGGTTTACCGCTAGAACATACTGAGAATATACACTTAAAAATATTTCAAGAGGGAAACAATTGCACTGCATAAGTCATTATAAGGATTGCATAGGCCATTGTTTTCTAATTTATGCAGAATCTTAGCACACCCCTCACACTCTCACATGTCACATCTAGTTGATTTTATAGCACAAAATCTATAATCATTTCCACGAGTCTCTTCTCGTACCAAACCAGAAAATGCTAAAATTCGAAACACATAAAACCCGAAATTCAAATTGGCAAAAGAAAAAAGCGTTAGCGAGAGAGAGAGAGAGAGGGAGGGAGGGAGAGACTCACCAGAACCTGAATCTCCGGCTCCTGAACCTGCGGGGCCTCGGTGTCGCCGTCGAAAGCGAACGGAACGAACCTGACGAACCGCAGAGCGGGAACAGTATGGAAGCGCAGAGAGGAGAGGAGCGAGGGTTTTCTTCTGCAGGTTGTGCTCTGTCTGAACAACGCAACGGCGACGCGCAAGGGTTTCGGCGATTTGGCGGGGCATGGCGGAGGCGGTGGCCGGAAAGTGGGGGTTCTGAGGACAGTGGCCATTACGAGGTAGAGAGAGGAAGAGAGATAAGGAGCAAGTGAATGGCGAATGCGCGACGCTTAAGAATTGAAAAATATGGTGGGAAGGGAACGACCGTTGGATTTGGTGGGGTGTGGCTTAATCACACGGTGGTTGAGTTGTGTTCGTTTTGGAGAAAACCCTTGTAATATGATGTGAAATCAAATATCTAGAACAATCTGGGTTGCGCCTTCACTCCGTTTTATTTTAATTTAGTTTAATAAGTTTTTTTTTTTTTTAACAGTTTTAGTTTAATATCTGGAAGTGTTTTGTGTGTGTTTGAGCATCTATTTTCAGAGTTGATATTGAATTAACTTGGTTTTATAAAATTTATTTTAAATGAAGGCGAATTAACATTGTTGTGATTTTTATTTAAATAATATATATAAAATAAAAAGTTATAATCAAAATTGCTTTTAAATGCGATTACCAGCATCTCCAAATAAGAATTTCTTGCAACATTACATGTATAAGTCTTTTTAAGGGATTTAAATTCTTTATAATTATAGAAAGTTATTTATATAGATATTCTCTTTAATTTTTAAAGATTTATGTATATAAATTTTACATACATTTTGTAGTTTAATTAATATCAACATAAAATAAAGAAAATTAGTTTGGTTTTATGGGCTATTTATTTCCAGCGATGGAAACATATAATAATGAAGAATTTCATTTTATTTATTATTATTATGATAATCAATAATTAAAAACGAAACTAAAAAATATATTAAAATAATAAATTATTTTTTTATTTTATGTTTTTTTATTCTATTTTTTTATTAATCCAAACAAAAAAGAAAATTAATTTCTTTCTTTCCTATTCTCTCAAGTCTACCTTACATTCATTTTTTTTTCCTTCTCTATTCACCCAAATTTCCTTTACATACAAAACAGAGACTCAGGGAAAGAAATAAGAATAAGGATGCGTTTGGTTTTGGGAAAGAAATAGGAGAAATAAATAAATAATAAAATTGAATGTTTGTTTAGGAGGTAGGGTAAAATAATGAGAATTAAAGAGAAATATATTTAGCAAATTATTGTATAATTTGATAGATTTAATTGAAAGTGAGAAAAATATAAATAAAAAAAGTGTGAGAAATACAACATAGTTATTTTCATAATTTTTTTCTTCTCTCAATTTTTTCTCTTCCAAACATAAGAACAATGCTTCTCTTTTTATATTCCTTTTTAGGATTAATCTTACAAGACACTAATGTTTTCACCCGTAGTAATAAAGGACGACAAAGAATTGTGAGGTTGGATTAAATCAAATTCTGAATTGTAACTTCATGATGATTAGAACTAAATTCTTTTAAAAATAGCAAAGACATCAATGTTTCATATAAGAACGAGAGTATTCTGACTTCATGTCTACTATAATAACATTATTAGGATTAATTCTCATATTTAAAGTATTATCTGCATTAGAGTTCTAGTCTGTCACGGTTTTGTCCTTAAAAAAAGTCTTAATGGAATAATGATAATGGTGTATATAAACTATTACTCTCTTTGTCTCGACTCTTAAACGATGTGAGACTCATAAGCAACTAGAACAAAAAGATATAAAGTTAATTGTATTTGTAGTGTCCAAAACAAAGTGCTTTTTTTAATTTTATTTTAATTCTTAAATTTAAATTTTGATTTTAATTATTCAAAATTGAAAAGTAAATATGTTTTTAGTTTCTAAATGGTAAATTTAAGAAATTAAACCACATTTTTTTAAATTAGTTTTAATATTTTAAATTTAACATTTAAATATTTTATATCATATTTTATTTTATTTAAAGGATTATTTAATCTAAATTCGAGAGAGATTAAAAGTATAATTAAACTAAAGATATAAATTTCATAGAAGGATACATTGGGGTCTAAAAAATTCCTTCCATTTCATGTTGTTTGGTAACGTGTGTGTAGTTTAATCAGAACTATCAAAACATATCAGTCAGTTTAGTTTGTCCCTATGGGGCAAGTAATAAAGATTGATGGTTTAAACTTACCTATATTTTAAAGTGAATAATAATTTTTAATCTAGTCTAGTCTTAAGTTAGACTAACAGGGTCAATTTTTGTCTTATTCAAAATTAAATAAATTATTTAAATAAAATAATAATAAATATAATTTTAAAATTAAATTATATTAATGAAATTAGTTTTCACTTAATAATTTAATACATAAATTATAAGAGAAAGATTCATTAAATCCTAAAATAAGAGGAAAAACTTATTTTTCATTATTATCATTTATTTTAGTAATTTATTAATCTAAATTAGTAATTAATATTAATTATTAGATTTTGAAATACATGATTGATTTATAATACATGTATAATCTTGAATAAAATAATTTCACTTTAATTATCTTTCAAAAATAATATTATTTTATAAAAGCAGTTAACCATAAACTCAAGAGTTAGTTTGGTCTAAGCTCATATAGGCCAATGACATAAATGGGTATGAGAAAAATAGGTCTTGTTTAATTTAAATCACAATTTTTTTTTGTCTAGCCCTAGTTTATTTTTAGATCAGATAACCCATCAGAATAAATCATTTTAACACCCTAGTATAATTCTGCAATTTCAACTCTAGATGCCTCGACTACCACCCACTTTTCAAAGTGTTATTACCAAACATTTTATCAAGAAAAAACTTAGGTACACTCTTATTATGAATACTAAGTAAGATTTTTTAATGATATTTACGATTATACTTCCATAATATATAATATATTCTATATTATATATGTTATTCTACTTATCCAGGTCTCAAGAATAGGGATGTAACACAAGTGTTTGAGATATTTGAACAAGTATCTTGATATTATCCAATATATTTGGAATTATCTAATAAAATAAGAATTCAATATCCCACCATTCTTGGGAGGTTAAAGTCCTAATATCACTTTATAAAACATTTTTTCTCTTTTTTATTGGCACGATTATTGTGATTATTCTCTTATATTACACTATTGTCTTAAGCATCGAAAAATCTTTTATAGGTGTTCCCCTTTGTCCTTAATTTGCTCGAAAGGCACCACATAAAAGCTCAATCATTCTTCAAGAACTCAATCACTCTTTAAGACCCAGGTAACAACATTTGGCGATAAGATAAAACTTCTCCTACCTCACCACCTCGAATCTAGATGACACAACCAACTCTTTTACTGCAATAATGGAATTAAGTGCCATCATCAATAGGCTCAAAGCACATATAGCATAATAGCAATAACAAATGAATGCAGAATGGAGTCACACTTCAAAGACTTCGAGTAGCAAAATACTAATATTGAGAATGAACATGAAGACTCGAAGAAAATCGAAAAGGAATTGAGTCTTCCATATCAACCCAAGCAACTATGAAAGCATGAGTCAAGTACAAACACCTTTCATAGCTAGAATACTTGATGAACCTTTCCTCAGAATTGGCGACCCCTATCGATGCTTACATTGGGATATTAGATCTCAAAGAACATGTTCAAGCATATGTCACACATGTCAAAGTGTATTTGAACAAGGACTCCTTTAAATATAAATTTTTTTCAACTATAGTAAAAGGAATTGTACTCCAGTGGTAATATGATATGCCTAAAGGATCAATATATTACTTTTAAGAACTAGCAAATAAACTTAGAGCTCGATTTGCGACGAGTCAACACCTCATTTGACCGACTCAACAACCTTTAAAAGCATTAGACAAGGAAAAAATAAATCACTACATAAATTTCTAGAGAGATTCGCCGCCTTCAATCTTACAATACCAGATTTGGAGCCAACGATTATGATGCATGCCACAATAGCCAACCTCCAAACTGGGCCATTTTTTGAAAATCTTGTACTTGAACAAGCCAAAAGACATGAACGAGCTAAGGATGTGAGCGTCAAATTACATACAACTAGAAGAAAGAACCAAACTCTGAAAGAGAAGAGAAGAAGAATTCAACCAAGTAGCTAACAAGAACCACGTCACCAAACACATAAGGAGAGTTAGGTACGACAACTACATGTCATTGAACGCTTCTAGAGAAACCATTCTCTAGGAAGCATGCAACTTTGAGCTAATGACTCTCCCCTAACAATCATTCACAACACCTAATACGGACAAAACAAAAAGATGTGTCTATCACCAAAAATACGGTCACGACACGGAGGGTTGCTTGAATCTACGAGACATTATAGAAGAGCTCATCTCAATCCATAAGCTGACCCAATATGATCATCCACGTAACATAAGAGGTCATGGAGGTTACTGAGGAAAAGGATGTTGTTATTGAGGACGCAAGCAAGGATATTATTAACGAGAATAGTCAAGCTTCAGTACAACCCACCCAACCAAAAACCACCCTTGAACATAAGGAAGGTGATAAATATAATTGTTGGAAGATTTGTAGGGAAGGGTTAACTTGCTCGACAAGGAAGCGATATTTACATACCATGTACCATATTCGAGGAACTCCCCCAATACGGGAGTTCCTTGATATCATATTTTTTAACAAGGATTACCATAGATATGACTCAACTCAGGACGATTCGATTGTTATCACGATCATAATTGCTAATTGTGAAGTCAAGAAAACCTTAATAAATCAAGCAGCTCAACCAACGTATTATACTGGTCAACGTTCCTCAAGTTAGGCTTATCACAAGATTTTATACATCCTTACCCTGACCCGCTGCTCGATTTTGCGGGAGAACAAGTTCACATTCGAGGATACATTTACTTGTTGACCATCTTCAGAACAACAACTTAACCCAACATCTTAGTGGAATATATCTTAGTGGAGGCAGACACATTGTATAATATATTGATCGGAAGATGAATACTTAACCAGTTGGGGCAAGTTGTATCAACCCCCACATGATGATGAAATTCTGATCTTTTGAGAAAGGTTTGTCATTATAGTAAGATTCAACTCAAGAGAAGCTTACACCTAAAATCTTAAGGTAGAACCTTACTTAGTGGTAAGAAGTTGTAGAGGTAGCTCCCAAGTATAAGCCCACTAGTGTAATTGATATAAAAGCTGATAGAGACACAAACAAACTTTATTCATGAGGCGTGTATAATCATTGTCCTTAAGGAATTATCCGCGGTGTATTATGCAAGTCCCCAGGATACAACAGGAGTTTCTCAGAATTTCCAAAAATCTCAGAAACTAGCAAGAAACTCTTAAAAGATTAAATAAACCCAGGACAATAGTATAACAGGAAGAAAATAGAGAAGAGTAGATGAGAGATGTGTATTTTGGAAGAGTGTAAAATGATCTCTATTTATAGGTGTAGATTGGGCCCAAACCCTAATTACCTACATCCAAAACATCCCCAAGTAACCACCTCACCCCCAATACTTAGGAAGTGTCATGAAATAAGGAGAAAATCTGCAACAGTTAGAGGTGGGTCTGCAACGTTCTCTATAACGTTCTCTACAACGTGTAGGAGTGAGTTCCTTGTTTTTTTACAATACAGTTTTATAACAGTAATAACGTGGAGTAGGTTGTTCTTAATCCACTAATAGAAGCATACGAGATAGTAAGATGTGCTTAGGTCTAAAAAGAAGGAGAAAAAGGATGAGAAGGTAGAGAAATAAAGTTGTAAAAAAATGATGATTTTGTGAGGATAAAGTTTGAATTATTAAACTTTTTTATTTATAATTTTTTTAACTTAACCGGTAAAACTTTAAACTTATTCTCACTGTACAACTTCTATTCTTAGCTCACTTAGATTGAGTCATCATATTATTTTACATAAGATTGACGTAACATAATGACCTTTTATACTAGTAATCTTATATATGAAAAAAAAAATTATACCCATAAAAATTCATCACAAATATAAAATATATATTTTAAATAGTACAAATATTTTAATTACTCACTTGTTAAGAGGTGGATATACGTATTCATGTGAGGTATCTACTCCCCATTAATCATTTTTATTTTAATTTTTTTTGGAAATCAAAATATCAAAATAAAACTATTAATGAGGAAAACCTTAATAATTGAAGAATGATTTATAATTTGAATTTATAAATGGTTATTTTTTGTATCTAAATTTTTTGAATTAAATTTGTTTAAAAAAAGATATGTTAAGAAAAAATCTCTAAATTTAACGTATAATTTTATCACTATAATATTTAATATTTTAATCTTCAATTTATCATTGCATGATATTAATATCATAAATTTTAAAATTTAATAATTTTGTATATTATTAATATTGTCTTGCTAGGATTAAACATGATACAAATATTATAACATTTATATATTTAATATTTATTTGATAATACAGAAAAAATTCTCAATTCAAATGTGTTACTAGACATATGTTACTGTAGGATGAAAAATTATATATTAAAAAAAGAACATCTCTAAAATTACTCAGTTTAAAAATAAAAATAATTTAAAACTATTATTATAATATTAAAACCAATTGTGAATCAAATGTTGGATAGTTTTCAAAATAATTTTTTTTCTTGTAGCACAAGAACATGGTACCAAGGGTGTTTTAAGTAAGATAATACATACTAATCATAAAGAATGATGAAAAATATTTCATTAATAAGAAGTGTAGGGAATATTAAAAATTTGATCCAAATAAGTAGAAAAGTTGCATAGTCTAATCTCATCATGGTCGTATAATATCCTCCACACATTCTTAATTGCGAAAGAAATGAAAATTTTAATTGTCTTAATATATTATTTCACAAAATGGACATGAAAGAGAGTCATTATTTGGACATAGTTAATTTTCATAACTTTTGCGTACCAAAAGATGAATTCACCAAGATATTCAAAAGAATGGAGTAAAAGAAACGTACTACAACCTAACAATCCGCGTCAAAGTGTAACCCTCTCATGACCCTTAATGAGACCGAGTTCCATCGTATATTTTACAGTCAAACAATACCTACTTCTTTAATTATTTTTCCTAATCATAACATATTTTTGTTGGAGCAATGAGTTTTTAATATTTCAACCATTAAACATCATATTTATATATTTTTTCTCTTTTATCCTTTTTATAGTTGATGTCCAAATATATTCTCTTTTCTTGTCATAGCAACATATTTCTTGCTGTTAATCTCTCTTTATTTTTTCTTACTATTAAACAAGATTGGAGTGCCATTGATCATTGAGAAGTAATTCTCAGGCATCTCTTGAGTTACACTTGGGAAGAAACACAAAGAAAAACTTGGGAAGAAACACAAAGAAAAACAGGAATAAATAATTGATACAATGACTCATGTAGAGAGAGATAGAAAAGAAATGAAAATTCTCAATAAGATGTTTGTTTTAAAAGAGTATCCAACTCATCATCATCCTTGAGGATAACTTTTTTTTTTTTTTTTCAAACTCCATTATAGACTCCAAACAAACATATGATGTCAACAGTTCATCTTTTTGGGCTGGTCAGAAACATCATTCAATACATATCTCTACTTAGTAGGCCCTACCTTGTGTTCCCTACTCTCTCTACCCTTTCCTTTCATCACCCTTTTGAATTTAGAGCACAATTGTTGCTCCAACATCATGAAAATGAACACTGAGAGCAGGTTGATGACCCTTTGGGTTGTGATCTCTGTGGCACTTTGTTCCAGTGTTAGAAACTCAGTATCAGCTTCGAAGCAGTGCCATTTCCCTGCCATCTTCAACTTTGGTGACTCCAATTCTGACACTGGAGGCCTCTCTGCTGCCTTTGGACAGGCTGGCCCTCCCCATGGGGAGTCCTACTTCCATCACCCTGCTGGCCGTTACTGTGATGGCCGTCTCATTGCTGATTTCATAGGTTCTTACTTCAACTCTTTTCTACTTTTCTATGCTTATTTTCTGCAAGAACATTAACTGTGTGAACTCTTACCTTATCAAGGATTCAAATTCATCATATTTCAAGAGACTAGTTGGACTTGTTTGTTGTTTTGAGTTTGATTACTCTTACATTCCACTCAATCAATCAAGAGTGAAACTTTTTTGGACCATCTCAATCTATCATACACACTCTCTCTCTCTCTCAACCCTTTTGTGTGAACTTTGTATATTACTGCTTTTCTTTTCTTGCATTAACTATAAACTGAACCAACTTGCTTCATGATTTTGAAAGAGCTTGATTTGCTTAACGATTAATAGTATCATTCTGTATTTTTGTTCCCCAGAAAACGGGATCTTGCCAGAAATGATTTATTGTCTTCTAGATTTTGAAAAATCCACCGACAGATTCAGTGGATGTTGTCATTATCCATAACAAACAAATTTGCTAAGGTCATCTCTATCATCTAAAAAGTTGTGAAAGACATCACTCTATTCTAGGAATTTTTCAATCAACAACTCATTTTTTTTATAGAATGCATGGCATAATTTTTGCATAAAATCCTTATATTTAATATTTGGTTTAGTAATAAAGGTGGCCTAAGTGGTGTGAATTTTGGTAGTATGTCTGAAGCTTTAAGTTTATATAATGCAATAGTATCTATTTTTGTTTATGATGTTTTATTCTCATTATCTCCATTACAAAGAAAATTTGACGCAACTTTGAGAATAAGACAATCTATGAATATTAAATGCTTTCTTTCATTCTATCAATACATGAGCAACACTTTGTTGTTGTTAAGTTAAATTAAATATTTTGAAATCTGTGATGTATTTTTTCATTCACTTTATCAAATTATTGATTTGTAAATATCTCTATATATTTATTTATAGATTGTAGATAAAATTATAATAAGTGATGGGACTTCCAAATACCCGTGAATGAAAAATGCATTATAGCATGTGATACATGGACCACACACGCACTTCATATTAGGTTAAACTGTAATTGAATATGATCTTCATCCTAATGATCAAACATATATCTATAATCTCATACTGTAAACATGTTATATAAACTAAATGCGAAAGCGTACCTGAATTAGCCATAATGATGATATTCTTTGTAGAGCACCTTTGAATTGATCTTATGGTCTTCCACTCGAAGAGCACCTATATTTCCCTATGAATTTTCTCTCTTGATGGGGATAGAGAGAAAGGAACGGGACTGTAACTTCGTTACGTCACGTGTGCTTCTCGAAGGGGACCATGACCCTTTATATAACCAAAATTAGGTTAATTACTTAAGTTTTAGTATTTTCAATTTGACCCCTCATCAAATTAGAAATTACTCTATGGTCTCTACACAATCATATTTTCATGACATATGTTTTTAGCCAAAACTTTAATTTATTCAGATCACTTTATTATTTGGCTTAATAAATAATGACCCTAACACATTTAAATATGTATCATATATATACATGACCCAAAATTTGCCAACAATCTCCCACTGGTCACAAATATATATGTCTTTACAACCTTACAAATGTGTTAGACTTTATGAGCTCAAAATTGTCATTATATTCCTTTAGCATATTCCAAAAGTCCTGTCCATTAATCATATCAGGATATAGAACCAAACCAGCTTTTCATTGCATCATCGCAACTAAAACCAACAAGATTACTCATCCTGACATAACCAAATGACATGGATTCATCATGAAATGTGTAGCATGAAAAATTACGTGAAGGTGATCTGTACACGTCTATTTTCAACTGGTCCAAACTTTAACTTATCGAGATCGATACAATAACCTTAATGTACAAAGTGTAATGAATGAACAAGAAAACCGCATATCTATAGATAACCAAATATGTCCAAAAAACAATGTATACATATATAAAATTAAACATAGAACATAAAATATATGAAAATGACTAACTCCCACTAAACCACAAATTCCTCAAACTGTAAAACACCCATGTGAGCAACATGCTCATGAAAGACCTTGGGCGAAAGTCCTTTAGTTAGAGGATATGCTATCATGGAGTTTGTCCTTAAGTGTTCTATGGAAATCTGTCCACTTTGTACTCTTTCCTTAACAATATAGCCGATTTATTGTCACAATATAACTTAAGTGGTCTTTCAATGCCTTTCACAATTTGCGACCCTGTGACAAAATTTCTCGACCATATTCCATGATTTGATGCCTCATAGCATGCTACAAATTCTTGACATCCTGCAAAATACGAGTCGGATAATCCAGACGATCTCCAACTGGTCCGACATCCCGTATGTGAGCATATAATCTTTTGTTCTCTTTAAATATCCGATGACCCTTTTGCTTGCTTTCTAATGGTCTATTCCTGAATTGCTTAAATATCTCGCCTAGAACCCCAACTATGTATGTTATGTCCGGACGCGTACATATTTGGGAATACATCAAACTCCCGATAGCTAATGCATGGGGAATCTCGTTGCATTTCCTCAATTTCCAAATTCCTCTTTGGGCACTAGTTTAGACTAAACTTGTCTCCCTTAGTAACCTGGAGTATCCCCGGCTCATGACGCACGAGGTTCTTGAGGATCTTGAGTTTGGTCTTGACGAACAATCAAATCATCTTGAATATGGGGTTTGTCATCAATGTCTTGTGGAGGTTTCGAACTTACTTTATCAAAAGTAACTGTTTGACTCGGTTCTGAATTTATTGTCGATTCTTCCTCCAAGACAAAGTTCCTGATTTTATTCTTCCCCCCAAACTCAATATCCTCAAAAACGTAGCAGTTCCCGTCTCAAAAATTGTCTTTAATGTGGGATCATAAAATTTATATCCCCTGGATCTTTCAGCATAACCAATAATATAACCACTTACCGTTCAGGAGTCCAATTAAACTAATTATGCTCACATTATATAAAAAATAAATAATATAAATAAAATATATATTCAAATAATGGTTTAACCCATCTCAAGACACCCAATGCACCATCAATATCAAGTCTTTGGACGAGTAATATTAACTGCTAAAGGTATCTTGTTGTAATAATCAAACATTGACAATAAAGCACGTCCAATAACAAACCAGTCTTTGGATTGATTTATCATCGACAAAGCTAATCTTTATAATTATCACATGTTTATCATTACAAGTGTATATGCAATTCGGCCAAATATTAATCTTCCTTTGGGCCGACTAATACTCGCATGAATATACACAAACACTAACATTTAATATTTTTCACGAACTACCCAATTCAAGAGATGTTACTTTGGTAACTTCTTGACTCAATTTGCTCACAAAAATTATTAAACTACCAAACAAATTGAATATATTAATAAGGATAACCCTAAGCCAAATTAAGTCTCAAGTACCAGTTTTAAACAAAATTTGTACTATAATACCACATATGGTTTTTTTTTTTTTTAATTAAGACAGTGGATCCCACGATATTAACATTATCAGATTTCTCTTGGTAATTAAGGCAGCGGGTTCCACGCACATTAACATTATCAGATTTCTCTTGGTAATTAAGGCAGCGGGTCCCACGCACATCCTAAGGCCAATTCACCAAATGCAATAATCAAGTCATGGTGGTGGGCATCCTCACGATCCAACGTCATCCAAACTTGTGGTTAACTGTACTTGTGAATTTATGAGGATGACCTCTTTGTTCACCTTGCCCAGAGTTTCCATGACTAAGCACACCCTGAATCTTGACCTTATCAGAGACCGAGAGCTCCACCTTTCTTTGCTTCGACGGCAACACATAAGGATACATAACAGACTCCTCCATGTTCGAATGATCAAGCCCTAACAAATGTCCTATCTTATGCATCGCCACACTCTCCAAATCCAACGCCCTCGTCAAAATCGTAAAACCCCACCCTAATATCAGCCTCATCATAACTCCCCTCCGTCAGATTCAACCCCGGAACAGCCCTACCCCATCGCGCGAACGCCCTCCTGAACACCTCAGTCGTGTTCCCCGGAATCCTTCTTGTCGGGAAGAACCCGTACGTAAGCCTCATCCCGGAGAACCACCGCCGCCCGGCCTTGGGCCACGACACATTCCCCACGGCGGAGAACTCGAAGTTCACGTCCGGGACGCCGCACCGCGGCAGCGAAAGTTGGTGGAACGTCTCGTTGGTTAGTTCGCCGGTGGGGTTGAGATTGAAGAAACGCTAGCAGGACTTGACAGTGGTTCGTGTACCGGAACCTTGCGGTGTCGCCGGATATTCCTCACCGGCCACAATGTGACGCGAAACTCTCGGGACAATTTTACCCCAAATTTGATTTTAGGGTTTACAAAATTTGGAGATTATTCTCCACCTAGGTTCTGATTTAAATAGAATCTAAATTTTGATAAATCTGATTTCCAAATACAAACATGAATTGAGTATGGGTTGCTCTGATACCAATTATTAGGTTAAACTGTAATTGAATATGATCTTCATCCTAATGATCAAACATATATCTATAATCCCATACTGTAAACATGTTATATAAACTAAATGCGAAAGCGTACCTGAATTAGCCATAATGATGATATTCTTTGTAGAGCACCTTTGAGTTGATCTTATGGTCTTCCACCTGAAGAGCACCTATATTTCCCTATGGATTTTCTCTCTTGATGGGGATAGAGAGAAAGGAACGGGACTGTAACTCTGTTCTGTCTGTGTGCTCTCAGAAGGGGACCATGACCCTTTATATAACCAAAATTAGGTTAATTACTTAAGTTTTAGTATTTTCAATTTGGCCCCTCATCAAATTAGAAATTACTCTATGGTCTCTACACAATCATATTTTCATGACATATGCTTTTAGCCAAAACTTTAATTTATTCAGATCACTTTATTATTTGGCTTAATAAATAATGACCCTAACACATTTAAATATGTATCATATATATACATGACCCAAAATTTGCCAACAATCTCCCACTGGTCACAAATATATATGTCTTTACAATCTTACAAATGTGTTAGACTTTATGAGCTCAAAATTGTCATTATATTCCTTTAGCATATTCCAAAAGTCCTCGTCCATTAATCATATCGGGATATAGAACCAAACCAAGCTTTTCATTGCATCATCGCAACTAAAACCAACAAGATTACTCATCCCGACATAACCAAATGACATGGATTCATCATGAAATGTGTAGCATGAAAAATTACGTGAAGGTGATCTCGTACACGTCTATTTTCAACTGGTCCAAACTTTAACTTATCGAGATCGATACAATAACCTTAATGTACAAAGTGTAATGAATGAACAAGAAAACCGCATATCTATAGATAACCAAATATGTCCAAAAAACAATGTATACATATATAAAATTAAACATAGAACATAAAATATATGAAAATGACTAACTCCCACTAAACCACAAATTCCTCAAACTGTAAAACACCCATGTGAGCAACATGCTCATGAAAGACCTTGGGCGAAAGTCCTTTAGTTAGAGGATATGCTATCATGGAGTTTGTCCTTAAGTGTTCTATGGAAATCTGTCCACTTTGTACTCTTTCCTTAACAATATAGCTGATTTATTGTCACAATATAACTTAAGTGGTCTTTCAATGCCTTTCACAATTTGCAGCCCTGTGACAAAATTTCTCAGCCATATTCCATGATTTGATGCCTCATAGCATGCTACAAATTCTCGACATCCTGCAAAATACGAGTCAGATAATCCAGCGATCTCCAACCTGGTCCGACATCCCGTATGTGAGCATATAATCTTTTGTTCTCTTTAAATATCTCGATGACCCTTTTGCTGCTTTCTAATGGTCTATTCCTGAATTGCTTAAATATCTGCCTAGAACCCCAACTATGTATGTTATGTCTGGACGCGTACATATTTGGGAATACATCAAACTCCCGATAGCTAATGCATGGGGAATCTGTTGCATTTCCTCAATTTCCAAATTCCTCTTTGGGCACTAGTTTAGACTAAACTTGTCTCCCTTAGTAACTGGAGTATCCCCGGCTCATGACGCACAGGTTCTTGAGGATCTTGAGTTTGGTCTTGACGAACAATCAAATCATCTTGAATATGGGGTTTGTCATCAATGTCTTGTGGAGGTTTCGAACTTACTTTATCAAAAGTAACTGTTTGACTCGGTTCTGAATTTATTGCCGATTCTTCCTCCAAGACAAAGTTCCTGATTTTATTCTTCCCCCCAAACTCAATATCCTCAAAAACGTAGCAGTTCCCGTCTCAAAAATTGTCTTTAATGTGGGATCATAAAATTTATATCCCCTGGATCTTTCAGCATAACCAATAATATAACCACTTACTGTTCGGGAGTCCAATTAAACTAATTATGCTCACATTATATAAAAAATAAATAATATAAATAAAATATATATTCAAATAATGGTTTAACCCATCTCAAGACACCCAATGCACCATCAATATCAAGTCTTTGGACAGTAATATTAACTGCTAAAGGTATCTTGTTGTAATAATCAAACATTGACAATAAAGCACGTCCAATAACAAACCAGTCTTTGGATTGATTTATCATCGACAAAGCTAATCTTTATAATTATCACATGTTTATCATTACAAGTGTATATGCAATTCGGCCAAATATTAATCTTCCTTTGGGCCGACTAATACTCGCATGAATATACACAAACACTAACATTTAATATTTTTCACGAACTACCCAATTCAAGAGATGTTACTTTGGTAACTTCTTGACTCAATTTGCTCACAAAAATTATTAAACTACCAAACAAATTGAATATATTAATAAGGATAACCCTAAGCCAAATTAAGTCTCGAAGTACCAGTTTTAAACAAAATTTGTACTATAATACCACATATGGTTTTTTTTTTTTTTAATTAAGACAGTGGATCCCACGATATTAACATTATCAGATTTCTCTTGGTAATTAAGGCAGCGGGTCCCACGCACATTAACATTATCAGATTTCTCTTGGTAATTAAGGCAGCGGGTCCCACACACATCCTAAGGCCAATTCACCAAATGCAATAATCAAGTCATGGTGGTGGGCATCCTCACGATCCAACGTCATCCAAACTTGTGGTTAACTGTACTTGTGAATTTATGAGGATGACCTCTTTGTTCACCTTGCCCAGAGTTTCCATGACTAAGCACACCCTGAATCTTGACCTTATCAGAGACCGAGAGCTCCACCTTTCTTTGCTTCGACGGCAACACATAAGGATACATAACAGACTCCTCCATGTTCGAATGATCAAGCCCTAACAAATGTCCTATCTTATGCATCGCCACACTCTCCAAATCCAACGCCCTCGTCAAAATCGTAAAACCCCACCCTAATATCAGCCTCATCATAACTCCCCTCCGTCAGATTCAACCTCGGAACAGCCCTACCCCATCGCGCGAACGCCCTCTTGAACACCTCAGTCGCGTTCCCCGGAATCCTTCTCGTCGGGAAGAACCCGTACGTGAGCCTCATCCCGGAGAACCACTGCCGCCCGGCCTTGGGCCACGACACATTCCCCACGGCGGAGAACTCGAAGTTCACGTCCGGGACGCCGCACCGCGGCAGCGAAAGTTGGTGGAACGTCTCGTTGGTTAGTTCGCCGGTGGGGTTGAGATTGAAGAAACGCTAGCAGGACTTGACAGTGGTTCGTGTACCGGAACCTTGCGGTGTCGCCGGATATTCCTCACCGGCCACAATGTGACGCGAAACTCACGGGACAATTTTACCCCAAATTTGATTTTAGGGTTTACAAAATTTGGAGATTATTCTCCACCTAGGTTCTGATTTAAATAGAATCTAAATTTTGATAAATCTGATTTCCAAATACAAACATGAATTGAGTATGGGTTGCTCTGATACCAATTATTAGGTTAAACTGTAATTGAATATGATCTTCATCCTAATGATCAAACATATATCTATAATCCCATACTGTAAACATGTTATATAAACTAAATGCGAAAGCGTACCTGAATTAGCCATAATGATGATATTCTTTGTAGAGCACCTTTGAGTTGATCTTATGGTCTTCCACCTGAAGAGCACCTATATTTCCCTATGGATTTTCTCTCTTGATGGGGATAGAGAGAAAGGAACGGGACTGTAACTCTGTTCTGTCTGTGTGCTCTCAGAAGGGGACCATGACCCTTTATATAACCAAAATTAGGTTAATTACTTAAGTTTTAGTATTTTCAATTTGGCCCCTCATCAAATTAGAAATTACTCTATGGTCTCTACACAATCATATTTTCATGACATATGCTTTTAGCCAAAACTTTAATTTATTCAGATCACTTTATTATTTGGCTTAATAAATAATGACCCTAACACATTTAAATATGTATCATATATATACATGACCCAAAATTTGCCAACACTTCAAACACACACACACACACACATATATATATATATATATATATATATATATATATATATATATATATATATATATATATATTATTTTTCTCTTTTTTTAGCTTTTAAAAGAAGTAATTTTGTTTCTAAACACTTTATCTATAATTGTCATTTACTTTAAAAATCATGTCCTCAATTATTAAGATTTGGCTAAAATATATTTTTAATTTCTGAAAATTTACAAAAATTTGCAATTAGTCTCTTATATCTGTTTTATTTTATTTTTTTCATTGAAATATTCACAGATTTTTACATCTGGTCCATGAAAAAAAATTTATTTATATTTCGTATTTACTATTTAGTATGACTCTTTGAACTGATTTTGAAATATTTTTTATTTTATTTTTATTTCTGAATTTTTGCTGTCATAATAATCTATATGTGTTTTTAAACATATTTTTTAAACTTCTGTCAGTAAAAACGATAGATGAAAAATATACGTTAATGAGGTCTTAACATAACATTAATTATACATCAAATCAAAATTACTTTTAAGTGTAAAATTTATTTGTTAAAATAGTCATTACATTGTTTTCTATATCTATCATTAAATTAACAATGACCTTAAAAGTATGTTAATAATACATTTTTTAAACGAAATTAATATATTTAAAATTTTATAGGGACTCAACACACCTCTTACCCTAATATATATTAATAGGAAGCTAATTTTTATAACAACAATTATGATTCATAATGTGATTTAAGTTTATCATATAACTACTAGACAAAATTTATAAATACTATTAGAAATTTTGATTGGATAATTACTATATATAATAAAAAATCGCTAATATTTTATTTCAAACTTCAATCAATCTAAAAATTTAAAACTTTAAAAGAGGGTGAATGGTAAAAGTAACACTCCAATAAAAATACTAGAATGTATTCAAATATTGGACCTTTCATTTTATTGAAATTCACTATAGTTTTAGTTTCCATGTCACTTCAATTAAAAAAGTGTTTTATCTTGACAAATGCTAATTAATTTGAACCTTCACTTTCATATTGTGCATGAAAAGCTAAGAAGCTGGGCCTGCCTTATTTGAATGCATTTCTTGATTCTGTGGGGTCAAATTATAGCCATGGAGCCAACTTTGCAACTGCTGGATCCACCATTAGACCTCAGAACACAACCCTTCATCAAACTGGAGGGTTCAGCCCTTTCTCTTTGGATGTTCAATTCAATCAATTCAGTGATTTCCAACGCAGGACCCAGTTTTTTCGCAGCAAAGGTAATGTCAACACATGAATCATATTTTCTCTTAACATATCCATTTATAATATTCATGTGTAATATCCATTTGGAGCATATTGGAAAAGGATTCCAACAGTATAAGATGTGAACATGTTTATGGATTCAGTTTGTTTGCCTTAAATAAGTGATTCATGATCATTTTTCACCCCTTAGGTGGAGTATATAAAACAATGTTACCAAAAGCAGAAGATTTTTCTCGAGCATTGTACACGTTTGATATTGGTCAAAATGACTTGACATCCGGTTTCTTCCACAACATGTCCACGGATCAAGTTAAAGCATATGTTCCAGATGTTTTGGCTCAATTCAAGACCGTAATCAAGGTAATCTAACTATTCATTTAGTTCTTGGTGTTGTTATGTTTCGGATGTGAAAAATGAAAACTATTCTAAGTAACTTCTGCTTGGATGTAGACCTAATAGACTACTATTTTCTTACAGTTTTCAAGTATATGAACCAAAAATTAAATTGAAGATAACTATAGGAACTACACAAATAGTTCATAACTTAGAAAACAAATTTATAGCATGTGCATGACCTGACATGCATGTTTGTGTATCTGTTTGGTGGTGTTAGTATGTATATAATCATGGAGGAAGGTCATTTTGGGTTCACAATACGGGTCCAGCTGGTTGTTTGCCATACATAATGGAGCTTCACCCTGTAAAATCATCATTGGTGGACAAATCAGGATGTGCAACCCCTTACAATGAAGTGGCCAAGTTCTTCAATAGTGAATTGAAAGAGATTGTGGTTCAACTCAGAAAAGAGCTTCCCCTAGCTGCCATCACGTATGTTGATGTTTACTCTGTGAAGTACTCTCTCATTAGTCAGCCAAAGAAGCATGGTAAACCCTTTACCTGGTTTGGACTTGTTTGGTTAGTGAAAATGTGTGGAAAAATGAGTTGTGTTTGTTGAATGCAGGTTTTGAGGAACCATTGAGAGCATGTTGTGGACATGGTGGTAAGTACAACTACAATTTACACATTGGATGTGGTGCTAAGATTAAGATTCATGGGAAAGAGATTCTGGTGGGGAAGCCATGCAAGGATCCATCTGTTTGGGTTAATTGGGATGGTGTTCATTACACGGAGGCTGCAAACAAATGGGTGCTTGAACGGATTGTTGATGGTGCATTTTCTGATCCACCTATTCCTTTGAACATGGCTTGTCATAAGCATCTTTGAATGAAAGGGTGCTAACACCCTTTTTCCTTTTTTCTTTGTATCTTCCCTCCTAGTTATGTATCTCCTAGAAAAATATTCAATCAAAAGGGTCGCGCATTATCATCTCTATTAGTTTTGAGAAATCTCTCTTACTTGATTGGATTTTATTGGAGGAATAAAATTGAGAACAGAGGATTTGAGTCATGCATGGTGACGAGGGATGAACTCACATGTAATCTTCACTGATTGCAGATGTTTCCTTTCTTTTTGACTGAATAATGAAGTTTGAATTGTTTGCTTTTGCTCCTCTTTCTATACTTTTTCTTGTACACATTAAAAAATGAAAAAAATGAAGCTCAATTTACTGTACTATAATTTTGGTGATTTGTCCATTAATCACGTGTATTTTTTTTCCTAGATAAAGCAAGAATTATCCGGTTAGAATAAACTGTTAACAGAAAATGGCAAATTTATTTGGACAATAGTGATAAAGAGGGGTATCAATATAAGAGGTTTGTTTATCCTTAACATGATCAAATAGATTAAGACAAACATATGCAAAAATACAAGGGAAGGCTCAAACCACGAGCACAAAATAATTTAGAAAAGACAGTGAAGGTGTTTGCAATTACTTCCCAAGGTATGAAGCAAATCTTAAAGTATGTGTGGTTGAATACGTGAGGCATGGGTGTCCAATGTGAAATATGATCAATAAAATAAAATGGGATATAATGTCACGTTATTTTACCCGTCTTAATATACATTAAAAAAAAATTATGTTTTTGCTGACAATCACTATGTCTTTAAATATTTATTCCAAACATACAATAATTACCAAATCGATTGGACAGTGAATCAAAGAATAATCTTACACTTAAAAGGGGGTAAATTTCTTTGTTGGAGAATAAAAACAAGAAAATTAAAAAGTACTATAAACTCTACATGACCCTGCACGGGGAAGGAAGAAAATTCTTTCGAAAGGTTCAGAAGATAATGGAATTTGTTAATGTTACGGTGTTAGAGCGCTGAGAAAATTGAGAAACCAAAAAACGAAAAAGACCAGAAATCGCGAGAATGGAATCGAGCGTTCTGGAATGTCTGGGAGTGGAAATAATCGGGGTTATGAGTCCGGTGTCGATATGCATGTTCCTGGTGGTTCTCTTGGTCTACGCCCTCTCCTCGCCGTCCTCCTCCGCCGCTACCATCACCACCGCCGCCAACCTCGTCTACGCTGAGAACCCTACCGACAGCGCCGCGCAGAAGTTCGAGGGCGCGCTCCTCAACGCTGTCGTCTTCGTCGGCCTCATCGCGCTCGTTACCTTCCTCCTCGTCCTCCTCTACTACTACAATTGCACCGCCTTCCTCCGCCACTACACGCGCTTCTCTGCCTTCTTCGTCCTTGCCTCCATGGGCGGATCCATCCTCCTCTCCCTCCTCCAGCGTTTCTCCATCCCCCTCGACGCGATAACCTCCTTGCTTCTGCTCTTCAATTTCACCGTCGTCGGAGTCCTCTCCGTCTTCTCCGGCGGGATCCCGATTCTGCTCCGCCAGGGGTACATGGTCTGCCTAGGGATCATCGTCGCCGTGTGGTTCACCAAATTGCCCGAGTGGACCACGTGGACTCTCCTTGTCGCGCTTGCGCTATACGATTTGGTCGCCGTTCTCGCCCCCGGCGGCCCGCTTAAGCTCCTGGTCGATTTGGCGTCCAGCCGGAACGAGGAGCTGCCGGCATTAGTCTACGAGGCGCGTCCGACCGTCGCTGCCCGAAATCCTGCCGCTTTAGGGTTTCTTGTCGCCGGGGTTTCGGATTCTGAAGCTTCTAGAGTTGAACTTCAGGTAGTTTCTAGAGATAATGTAAATAACAACGATAATGTCAGTAATGATGATGATGATGACGACAATGCTGTGAATCATGGTAGGAACGATGGAGGGGAAAGGTCCCCGTTAGTTGGTGGAGTGAGATTTGGTGAGGTTGTTATTGATGAGGAGATGTCTCCCCTTGTTGAGACGGGTGTAGATGAGGAAGGGGAGAGGGTGATGAGGGAGATTGGTGGGGAGAGGGGGATTAAGCTTGGCCTTGGGGACTTTGTTTTCTACAGTGTTCTTGTGGGGAGAGCTGCCATGTATGATTTAATGACAGTTTATGCGTGTTACCTTGCCATTATTTCGGGACTAGGGTGCACGCTAATTTTGTTGTCCGTGTGTCGGCAGGCCCTGCCTGCGCTTCCAATTTCGATTGCCTTGGGGGTTCTGTTCTATTTTTTGACGCGGCTGCTGATGGAGCCCTTCATTGTTGGGACTGCCACCAATTTGATGATGTTTTAAGGTTTTTGAGAGATGCAGGATGGCAGGCTAGGGTTTAGGAATTCTAGTGGTTTCATATACAAGGAATTTAGGCATGGAGTGAAGAGGTAGGATTATATCCATTATAGCAAGTGATATACTTGTGCACATTGCTCACTTTTGTTAACAGATAGTGTTGTAACTGATGTTTGAAGTGAAATGAAGTGCAATTCAACCTCTTCCATGCCCTTTTCTTTAGAGATTGTAAATTTTAAAACTAAAATGACTAGTGATGTTAAGCAATGTCTTCCCTGGCCTTTTGATGTACATGAGATTTGGAGAGGAAGTTTGTATTTACTTTACTGGCATTTGTTGAGTATATTACATCTACTTGAGTGTATTTATGGATTTTTCATACAATCTGTGGCCTCCAAGCTGTTTTCCTTTCACGTTCTTATTTATGGACATAATAGTGGAAATTATCCATATTTTGAGATTAGCATATTTCTCACAAACCGAAAACAATTCAGAAGGCTGTATTGAAATTGTTGACTTGAAGTAAGAGGCTAGTGTCAACGGGTGATTTGTGTTTATATATCACGTGTACATTTTGATGTGCATGAAAAGAGTGATCTTCATATTATGCTTGCACTATAATTCACACAAGTAAATTTCATGGTTCATGCAATAAGTGTATGGTATGTAACTAAGGATGTATTTATGCACTCCTTACTATAAGTTATTTGCAGATTATAGACAAAACATTGTTTACAGAGATTTGATTGATTTATGTCTGAAAGCAGTTTAAAGTCCCCTTCTTATGCCATTGAGTAGTTTGTTTTGCCTCTTATATGTTACTAAGTTGTTTACTTTGTTGGGAATAACTTTTAGTGTAGTATGTCCTTGTTTTATGTTTTCTTTCTTTTCTAGAGCTATTTAGGGATGTCCTATCAGTAAGCAGAAATTCAAGTGATATATTCATTTTTTCTTTTTTTGTGGGGAAGGTAATTTGGATCTTTTCTCCCAATTGTTATACTAGTATCATTAACATTAACTTTTAGGGTCTTGGCTCCCCCCTCCTTCTAGACTTTCCTAGTTATTTACCTTTTCAATCCAGATTAATATCAATACTATTTACTGGGGTCTACGTTCTTAACCTAAGTCCTGTTATCCAGGTCTTAGGATTAAAACATACTTTATCCCCCATTCTCAATTGTGCTTGAAGAATTTCTTCCATAGACGGCTCGCAGTCTAAACCATCAAAGATTTTGTTGGACTAATAATGTTTGCAATTTTCACTTTAGTAAGGACATAGGGCATGCACATCTGTCCATTTTTATTTTTTCATTTTAATGAAGCGTTTATTTACTTCACATGCTTTTGATTACATCATAGAAATTGTGAATTACAGAGATTGCTGACTGTAGATTTTCATAGGTTTAGAGATGGCAACTCATGAAGGTTTTAGTATTCTTTGAATCCTCATAATCTCGCATATTTCATGAGCCATCGATCTACATCTATTTCTGACTACTTGCTACTACATTCGGTTTCTTGTTTTGGCATATGACAAGTTTTTCCTCCAAGTAGCCTAGGTATCCCTCCTATCAGAGCAGTACCACGCAATATGCATAGGTGCAGGCGCATTCAACTGACTTGCTTCTTGTACAGCAAAATCCTTCTAAATAGTTCAAAATTCTGTAAGCATCTTCAAATTGTTATTGCCCTTTTGTGTGCATGAATTGGATTACTAAGCGTTCTGCAAAAGATAAATTTGATTTTCATCAGCTTTACATATGTTAATCATCCATTGGCAACTCAAACTATTTCCTATGTCCTTTTTTAGTAGAGCTTTCATTCCATCTCAACCATTTTCCAATACAGATGTAGAGCTTTTGTTGTGTTTCTTGGCTCCAGACAGATTAGAAAATCTAGGGAAAAAACTTTACGGTTACATGACAGATTTTGTTGGCATATATTTTTAAATGGAATGAAGAGCACGAATCCCAACACTTTTTTATTGAATCCTATAGGAATTCCAACATCAGAAATAAGATTGAAGAGGTATTTGTAATTTGAAACAACTAGAATTCAACACAATATGTTCTAGTGTTGGGATAAGAGTTTAGCCTTCATTTCTTTATTCCCCTTCAAGTGTAAACCGGGAGCTGTCAATCTGGTTGTGATACCTCTTACCCGTGTTTGAGTCGTCAACGTTTGGCACATTATCTTCAATTTTGGCTACCTGAACTAACAACTTGTAGAATGTAAGATCAAAACATAATGTTGGTTTCTCCCTTGTTCTCACCCTTGTTCTGCTGACACATTTTGTGACCACCTCCCAGCAGTTCAAGCATTTTCTGATCAAGCCAGTCCTTTTCTGGCACACCCAGCTTATATGTGAGGTCTTTGCACTGTCAATTCCGTGTCTCACAACTTGGTCATTCCTTGATAACGTGTACTATTTTGTATTTTGTCTTATGCTTCTAGACTTTTGTTGTTATTGACTTGTGAACTTGGCATAGACTAATGATTATTGTCTCTACTATGAATTTTTAAAGTAATAAATGTCTTCTAATTTAGCTTTTGTGTGTCTCTTGTATCCGTAGTCTATAGAGTAGTCACCCCACTATATATTGACTTTCGGGTTGGCTACTGCGAACTTCTATTTTGAATTCCCGATTGAAAATTTGAAAGCTAAACTTACAAAATTTCATTTATGTACTTTTTTCAATGAGAAAATACATTCATCAGACATTTCATAGATCATTGCGAAGGCAGATATATCACATATATCCAATAAGCATTATTGCTGAAAATACTAAGTCGTTTTACTCTACTATGTTCTTATTTTGGTCCGAGACCCTTCTCTTTGGACTCATTTGAAGTGTGACTACTATACTCCACTACTTTTTATGGATCAAGTTTAGTTTTTTGCCTTTTTGGAATTACACATACTAAGGTTTCTTGATTGTGAATCCAAAGAAAGGCACAACTTATTAATTGATGTTAATCAAACGTGTTTCATATATGTTTCTTCCATCTATACTTTCAAAACTTTTTTTGTTGTTTAATTTGATATATAGTAGTAATTCATCACATTTACTTATGTTGTGATGCGGGGTTATCAATACTGTGATCATACGAGTATACATTTCCACACCCTTCAACTTGGTTATCTCATACATTCATTTATTAGACTTGTAGAAACTCGTGTATAATCAATCACAAGTGAAGGGTGACTGTGCGACTTCAATTGGACATTAAAAAGACAAAAACAACGTTGAATATGTTTGTTTTTGGGTCGTGATTTACAGGACAGAATGTCAGAGCTTATTGGTTCTCTTGCAAGATTTTGTTCTTCGTGTATGTAAATGCATTCAGCTTTAGTAGCATTCTCCTATAACATAAACAAATAAATGTTTTTTTTTCTTAGTTCTAGAATGAGTTTTGACATTCTCTCTATTCTTCTTAGTTCTAGAATGAGTTTTGACATTCTCTCTATTCTCCTTTGTTTTGGCGTGACTAGATTTGCCTCTAGTGGAATTTTCTTTTATGATTTATTTATCTTCCAACTAGAGCTATTTTTGCATTTTGTTCGAAGTTGGTCTCTCTTCCTCCTGCTTTGATCTCCCGTAAAGAATTAGGAATTCATTTTGTTATTGAATTCATATAGTTTTGACTTGTTTGTAAGTAAAACATCAGCAAAATTTTGGTATATTATTATTAGTAGTAGTAACAACAATTAATAGTTTTATTATTATTAATAGTTTTTTTTATTTTGTTTTATGATAAAGTTAAAATGTTGAATTACCATGTTATTCAATATTACTCATATTTTTTAAATAATTATTTTTTTACAAGAGACTAAGTTGATGAAACTTTCACTAGTTTATATAAGTTTTTAAGTTTGAGAACCTTGGTATAATAAATGAGTCCGCGTATATCAATTCAATTTCAACGACAATCTATTGAAAATTTTATTCAATAATAATAATAAAAATATTATTATTATTATCAATAATTTAAAGTAAAAATAAGTATAAAAAATTAAATTTTTAGAAATTAGATTTAAAGAAAAAAAGAAAGAGATGAGATAACAAAGAGGAAGATAGAAGGTGCTTTTTTACGGGGAAAATAAGGAGGTAGAAAGAAGCCCTTGCTAGAATGCGTCGCAAATGGCAAATGCACGAAGTTGGAAGACGAAGAGATACAAGTCATTCTAAATGGAAGTCGAGGAGAAAGACATGACCATAGTGGATTGAAAACAAAGACATGGATTGTATCAAAAGTCAAAGTTGTCGCGGACAAGAATGCAAATAATCATGATGATTTGATAAAACTTTTAAAATCAGGATCCGAATTGTATATCTTGGACTTGTTTTCTCTGCATCTGGAGATTTGAAATCTCCATATATTCTCTTGATATCCACATTCATCTAAAAAAGAAATATTGTCTTCTAAAATATTTTTGAAAATAATACATGAATATTGATCACGAGTGTTAAATGAAGAGTCAAAAGCTCGGGGAGAAGCTATGAATATAAAGAAATGTTATGCATTTGATTTCATTCCACTGTGAAATATCAAAATTAATATTTTTTGGTAAAAATTTATCTTCTAAATAATGGTCTCACTCTATTTTAGTACAAGTATTTTTTATTTTTTTTCAAAATATACTTACCATGTATCGACATCATTATTATCATCCATGCTTTATGCATTTTTGTTTGATGATCAGAAACTAAATTATAACATAATTTTCAAATAATCCTAATTTGAGAAAAAAGTTGATGACCATAAAATTTTTCATAATAATATTCAAGGAATTTTATTTTGTATATAGATCTAAAACAATAATAATTCTTATAATAACACATGTCACATTTTAATACTTATCTGAAAGTGATGAAGATCTTATTGAATTACTTTGACAAAAATTTTGTTGATTTGATGAAGTAAAAAATGAAGTCAAATGCTACTTTGTGGCAGTCAAAGGTCACTTAGATAAAAGGGTAGTGAGATTAGTGAGTCTGCATCTC